CTTTGTAGGAAGAGGTAGTGACTAAAGTAGGGGTGCTATCTATAACCTGCTTTTAACACCCAGCTCTTAATGTACTTACATGGTGTTTCACATTATTAACTAATTAATGGTGATTGGCTGCAGAAGTGTCCTACAGGCCAAAGTTGTAAGGTCATGGGTCAAAGTAGGAAGTGGGTATAACTTAAGAAATGGCTTTTTATATCAGCTTATGGCAGCTGTTGGTGTAGAAACTTAATCTGAGTTTGTTTTATTGCAATAGTGGTGGCCATTTTATTTTATTGCATTTCTAATAAAGAGCGGTAGCACACACACTGAGATATATAAAATGTTTGTGTGCCCTTCCATCACACTGTGTGCATGTTATCATAGAAAATGTAATAGTTTTTGTATGTGTAATGATGTGGTGTCATTTATGAATGTAGTTAACATTAACTTATGGCAAAGATAATAAATATTCAGTAACAGCAATAGGGGGAGAACCCACTATTAACATTTTAATTTATATTTATTTGACCAATCCCGTATAGATAGGGTAGAGAAAATAACATATAAAGTTTTATTGAACAAAAATGATTGAAATGTATGCAGGAGATTTTAGGGATTACACAAAGGAAATTTTTAGGATGAAGAAAAGTATTTTTAATCTGAACATGAAAATCACTTTGCACATGAAATATCACAACAAATACTTGATATATTGAAGAACAAATCTTTATTTTAATTTATTAAATATACTTCACTAAAATATATGATTTTTTCTATGTGAAAGACTTATAATGTTAACTGAAAGTCTGCCAAATTTCGTGAAGATATACACACTATATTGAGTTATAAGTATTAAATCAATAAATACTTCAAATGAGTACAAAAAGTTTACGTGGTCGGTCAAATTGACCGAGTTCGTGTTGAAAGAGTTAACAGAAGAATCAGAGAAACCATATTAATAAAATCAAGCAATCCCACATTTTTCATCGTTATTTCTCCAGACACTCCTAATCTTATACAACAATTTTATAAAAGATTTCCACATTTTCATATTTATTTTTGTTTGTTTTTCTGTTCATCTATAAATAAATACTCTGTCAACTCACATGGGTTGATATGTGCATGCATAACTAACCACTATCAATTGTAAAATTTAAATACATTTTTATATTGTTGAATGTTGTTTAATTACTAAAACCTTCTTTACCATTAAAACTTGTGTACTTGCGAATGATTGTAAGAGTGATCGAAAGGTTAAACCAGTTTTTAAAGTATTCTTGCTTACTGTAAAAGCTGTAAGTTCTAATAGAATAATTATAATCAGTATGTAAACTCAAATTATTTTTGAATGTTTTATCAAAATTCTGTGAAAGAAAAATTCTTTTGAAGTTTCTGTTTCCCTTACACAAAACAACAAACTTATTTTTCTGAGAGTTACTTGAAAAGTATGGGGGTAGGAATCGACTTAATATGAGCCATTATGCTATACCTCGGGACGCATTGTAGATTTTCCGGAGTAATAATCTCCAGGTCATCCGGGAGAAAATCTTTGGTAATCAGAAATGTAAATTAGGATTTAAATAATTAATGCAAATGGATGAAACACTTGATTCCCTTGGGTCATGGATTAATGTGTCATAAAGCTCAACAAATCCTACTTGTAGAAGTTCTCTATCTTATAGAAGCTATAGAATAACTAATGAATGGAAAAGGTTAAATAAATAGTTTTTACATATGTCTTTTGGTATAACATTTGTAAGTAATTTTTAGATCCAACAGGAAATCTTTCAGTATCTCAATACATACAAATTCTCAAGTCATTATCTCTCACTGTGAACAGGAATAATTTCCTTCTTGTTGCTTAGAGTGAGTGTGTATTTGAAGTTTATAAAGTAAGCATCTAAAACACTATACTGTTTATCAGTTACATCCTAAAGGATAAGTTTTTGTTATGGAATAAATGTGTTGGGGAATTACCTACATGTAAAACAAATCTTGAGATGAAAATATACGTGAAGAATGAATGTTCAGGTTAAGGTGAACAAGTGTGGGTAAACTGGTCGATACTTTTGAAATGACAATGTTGGAACATTCCAATAATGTAAATGTTTGTTTTATAGAATTAAGTTGTACTCATTCTAGATTTAAACAACTTAAAGTTGTATTGTTATTTTCTCCTAAATATTTGATTCTTAACAAAAGAATAATAACATAGAAACCTTTGTTTAATGTCTTATGTCGTGTAGGTACTATAAAGTAGAAACCATTGTTTAATTTCTTATGCCGTGTAGACACTATAAAGTAGAAACCATTGTTTAATGTCTTATGCCGTATGGGTACTATAAAGTAGAAACCATTGTTTAATGTCTTATGCTGTGTAGACACTATAAAGTAGAAACCATTGTTTAATTTCTTATGCCGTGTAGACACTATAAAGTGGAAACCATTGTTTAATGTCTTATGCCGTGTAGACACTATAAAGTGGAAACCATTGTTTAATGTCTTATGCCGTGTAGACACTATAAAGTGGAAACCATTGTTTAATGTCTTATGGCGTGTAGACACGATAAAGTATAAACCATTGTTTAATGTCTTATGCCGTATGGGTACTATAAAGTGGAAACCATTGTTTAATGTCTTATGCCGTGTAGACACGATAAAGTAGAAACCATTGTTTAATGTCTTATGCCGTGTAGACACTATAAAGTAGAAACCATTGTTTAATGTCTTATGCCGTGTAGACACTCTAAAGTAGAAACCATTGTTTGATGTCTTATGCCGTGTAGACACGATAAAGTAGAAACCATTGTTTGATGTCTTATGTCGTGTAGACACTATAAAGTTGATGCCATTGTTTAATGTCTTATGCCAAGTAGACATTATAAAGTTGATGCCATTGTTTAATGTCTTATGCCGTGTAGACACTATAAAGTTGATGCCATTGTTTAATGTCTTATGCCAAGTAGACATTATAAAGTTGATGCCATTGTTTAATGTCTTATGCCGTGTAGACACTATAAAGTTGATGCCATTGTTTAATGTCTTATGCCGTGTAGACACTATAAAGTGGAAACCATTGTTTAATGTCTTATGCTGTGTAGACACGATAAAGTGGAAACCATTGTTTAATATCTTATGCTGTGTAGACACTATAAAGTAGAAACCATTGTTTAATGTCTTATGCCGTGTAGACATTATAAAGTAGAAACCATTGTTTAATGTCTTATGCTGTGTAGACACTAAAGTTGATGCCATTGTTTAATGTCTTATTACACTAATTGTTACAAGAAAATAACTAACTATTCAAGGTTCAAAACACAATAAGTATCTTGTACCTATTAATGAAACATTACCTTGTACCTTTTTCATAATGTGTGTATGATATACAAGTTTTGTGAAACGTACGTTGAACAAAGTGTAAATAAAGTACACACTTTGTACAAAGTATGTGTATAACATACAAACCAACGTTGTTAACTGTTAGTTAAAGATGCATGTAGTTGTGAGAGAAAACAACTACTACTACTTAGACATAACCAAATTATGTGTACATCTATTGTGTTTTCATACTGAAGTACCAGTATGTGTTAATTTAAGTATGTAACATAACACATTCAGTAGGTTTAATTAAAGTATGTTACATAACACATTCAGTAGGTTTAATTAAAGTATGTTACATAACACATTCAGTAGGGTTAATTAAAGTATGTTACATAACACATTCACTAGGGTTAATTAAAGTATGTTACATAACACATTCACTAGGTTTAATTAAAGTATGTAACATAACACGTGTTATGTAGCATACTTCAATTAACCCTAGTGAATGTGTTATGTAGCATACTTCAATTAAACCTACTGAATGTGTTATGTAATATACTTTAATTAACCCTAGTGAATGTGTTATGTAACATACTTTAATTAAACCTACTGAATGTGTTATGTTACATACTTTAATTAACCCTAGTGAATGTGTTATGTTACATACTTTAATTAAGCCTAGTGAATGTGTTATGTTACCTACTTTAATTAAGCCTAGTGAATGTGTTATGTTACATACTTTAATTAAGCCTAGTGAATGTGTTATGTTACCTACTTTAATTAACCCTAGTGAATATTCACTAGGGTTAATTAAAGTATGTAACATAACACATTCACTAGGCTTAATTAAAGTATGTAACATAACACATTCACTAGGCTTAATTAAAGTATGTAACAACACATTCAGTAGGCTTAATTTAAGTATGTTATATAACACATTCACTAGGCTTAATTAAAGTATGTAACATAACACATTCAGTAGGTTTAATTAAAGTATGTAACATAACACATTCAGTAGGTTTAATTAAAGTATGTAACATAACACATTCACTAGGTTTAATTAAAGTATGTAACATAACACATTCAGTAGGCTTAATTAAAGTATGTAACATAACACATTCAGTAGGCTTAATTAATGTATGTTACATAATACATTTAGTAGGCTTGATTAAAGTATATAACAGCACATTCACTAGGTTTAATTAAAGTATGTTACATAACACATTCACTAGGTTTAATTAAAGTATGTTGCATAACACATTCAGTAGGGTTAATTAAAGTATTTAACATAACACATTCAGTAGGGTTAGTTAAAGTATGCAACATAACACCTTCAGTAGGCTTTGTATCATTTCTTTGGTAGTGTACTAAATATTTGCTGTTTGAAAGCTCAATCACACATACTTAAATTGCATAAAACAGTCACCTGTAATCCTATATTGATAGGTTTTTTGTTGTAGGGAGTGTTTCATTATTAATTATTTTATAGATAAATATGAAATTATAACCAGTTTTTATTTAATATGTAGTGTTTATCTAATATAAATAAAATATCCCAGTAATTTTGTTATTGCCGAGTCCATTACTGAACAAGCAGTTCAGATATTTCTTTCTTATATCAACCGTTGATTAGTAACCAACTTTGGAATAAAAAATTCGAAGCCACTGAGTTATACTCATTGGATATTGAGCTATCAAAATTTGTCTTTCAGATTGTATACTAGAAAACTAACATGCTCCAGTAAAAGTGCTTAAAAGTCCTGGAAATGTACAAAGGCTCCTGAAAACTCCTGGAATTAATTTACTTCAAAAACAATTTTTTTTGTCCATTTCACATAAACCCAAGAAACTAATATTTTAATAAATTTTACATGGTTACATACACGCAAGTGTACTATAACCATCATAACTTAGGCCCTGATATATAATGCTTAGGCCGTGAGAAACGTTACAGAATCGAATGCTGTCTGTGTTATTTTGATTAACGATTCATGCATGTGAAATGCAGTTTTAACAAATGACAGTTCGTGGATTTGTTGAAACTTAACAAAGCATTGATTTATCATACTTAACGCTTCACGAAACATGTCAAGCAAATTAAAGCTATGCCTGGCAGGAAATGCACGTTTAATGCTTTACGGCTTGATAAACTAGAATATGCAGATAGTGCAGCCAAACACAATGCTGGTTGCAACGTGTGCGAGGAAACCTTCAACATTTCGAATATGTGTGAAACTTCACTCAAAAGCCACATGAAAACACACTGTGTTATTTAAAACAATGCCAACAAATGATGAGAATTGACAGCTTTATGAGAAAAAATGCATCAGCTAGAGGAGATTGCCATTTAATTTACATAAAATTCCACTGTTTGCATGTTGTACAATGTAAGAATTAATGCACGTAATAGATTCTGCAAGTAAAGTCATTTTTTGTTTATAATTATTCACTTAGTTATTTCTGGAAATGATTCAGTGATTCAGTTCTGGAAAACTCCTGGAATTTTTTCTACTTGTGTCTGTAGGGACCCTGTAAAACTCACATAAATAATGTAACTTGGAATATCACGATTTGGGATTTACATCCAGTTTGATGTTGATTATGTTAAGTACCATATTTGTTTTGTGTATTTTTTAAATAGTTAATTCATATTAGTAGAACAGTGTATCACAAGGATGGCACAAACGTAACATGTTAATGTGTACTGCTGTTATAATACACTTTTAGAAAAGTGTTATTTTTGTTGTAATGATACAATTTCTTTATTAAGATGGCAGAAGTTAACATGGTAATACGTACTGCTAAGATGGCAGAAGTTAACATGGTAATATGTACTGCTATTATATTTTCAGTAAAATTTGTA